CTAATACCCTTGTTAGATTCCCCAAGCTTTAGAATCATAATTAACCCTGTTATCAATCACTCACAATTGAATTGTATCACCTTATCCATATCTTCTCCCTCCTCCTCTTACCAAGACTCATCAGGAAACAAGAAATCTGCTTGATCTTCATGATCCCCACCTGTTCAGTGGAGAAGACAAAGGCTATGGCTGTTGTTATTATTGTTGTTAGGTGCCGCCAAGTCAGTTCTATCTCATAGTGTCTTTATGTACAACACAATGAAACACTGTGCCCTTCTACGCTGTCCTCATTAAACACTGCATTTATGTTTAAGGCCATCGATACAGTCACCGTATGAAACCATCTCATCAAAGGTCTTCATCTTTTTTACTGACTCTGGGCTTTAACAAGTATGACGTCCTTTTCCAAGGGTTAATCTCTCCTGTTAACATATCCAAAATACATGAGGTGATGTCTTTCCAGCCTCACTTCTAAGGAATACCTGGCTGCATTTTTCCCAATTCAGATGGAAGTTCATGGTACTTTCAATATTTTTCACCAACACCATAATTCAAATGCATCAATTCTTCTTTGGTCTTCATAATATCTTGTCCAACTTGCACATGAATATGAGTCCATTGAAAATACCATGCCTTGGGTAAGGTGCACCTTAGTCCCACCCAGTTGTTGTGGGAGATACAAAGACTAGCTATAGTTAGAAGAGTCATATTGAGTATTACACTGCACAACACTGTGTAAACTGGCTTAAGTCCTTTCTGGAACAAGTTCAGGTGGATAAATTGACAGTGAGCAAAGTTTTATGTAAAGCACACCTGCCGTTCTTCTTTCAATGAGACTTACAAACAGGTAAGGTTAATTTGGTCTTACTTTATATCATTCATGGACCCCTGGTAAGTCCTTCTGAGTAGACTGTCAGATTATGAAAAATAGCTATCAGAGTAGGTCGAATAATAACCCTCAAAGATATCAGATCTGAATCCCTGGAAGGTGTAAATGCTACCTTATATGAAAAAAAGAGCCTTTGCAAATGTATTAATATTAGGAATTTAAGATAGGGGGTGGAAGATCCTGGAATACTCTGGTAGGTTCTAATGTAACCACTATGGTTTTTATAAAAGAAAGACAGAGTGAGATTTGAACCAAACAGAAGAAGGTAGAGTAACCACAGATGCAGAGTGTTGTGATATGCCTATAAACCAAGGAAGGCCAGGGCACCAGCCGCTGGAAGAGCCAAGGGTGGATTTTCTCTCCGGAAGCCTCCAGAGGTGGGGAAGCGCTTCCAAGACACCTGACCTTGGCTCAGTGATGTTGATCTTAAAATGCTGGACTCAGGACTGACAAGAGAATACATTTCTGTTGTTTTTAGCCAAGTTTGTGATTATTTTTTATAGCAACCATAGGCAACTAAGAGTCATTAATTTAATTATATAGAAGTGTTGCAAGAAAGGAAAATGCCTTCTAGCATTAGATAACGGGAAAGGTAGAAACAACAAAATTAATTCTACTTAGAATAAAATATATTAAGAGGTAGTTTAAAAGAAACAGAAAGCTTTTTTATTCTAAAGGTCTATCATTGACTCCATGATAAGGTGACACTCGTAACCAAATTTTCTCCTTGATATATCACATATATTAAAGCAAAGTCCTCCAGCACCAGTGAAGGCAACTGGAAGTATGGGCTCCCTGTGGCATTCCCATTCCATCCTGTTCTCCAGGCCTCTTTGTGGATCCGTGGATCCCTGGTTGTATGCTGGGTTGCTAACTGCAAGGTCAGCAGTTTTAAACCCCCAGCTGCTCCTCAGGAGAAAGACGAGGCACTGTACTCCCATAAAAAGTTCTACTCTCAGAAACCCACAGGGGTAATTCTGCTCTGTCCTATATGATCGGAATCAACTCAATAGCAGTCAAGCAAAAAGCATTTCTGTGGTTTTCATTCTACCAACTCCTTAGAGTATTTGATTTACTTGCTGGAAGTAATCTACTCTTTTATAGTGTCAAAGGAGATCTTTGCAGAATTTCACTTACGGGAAAGTGTTTAGAACCCTCTGCTGCATTTGTTGACCTAGATTTGCATACAAGGTCCAGAGCAAATGGGTGGTCCCCTTTTAAGCCATGAAGGAGTAGCCCGTCAACAGCTGTCTATTTTGACTGTCGTATGTGATCACCTCTAGATTATCTCTAGAGGTGAACAGATAAGTCAGCCATCATCACTCTTGATAACTTTAAAGTAAACTCTGCTCTTGATCCAAGTGTGGACGCAGTGGTGGCATTGTGGTTGCACTTTAGGTCATTAATCACAAGGTGGTTTCAAAACCACCTGGCACTCTGGGGAGAAAGATGAGGCTTTGAATTCTCACCCAGAGGTGCAATCTCAGAAACACACAGGGGAGGGTCTACGCTGTCCTATACATCACAGTGAGTCGGAATCACCTTGATGGCAGCGAGCTTTTTTGGGGTGATAAAAGTTCACTCCTTTAGAAGTCACCTATCTTGGAATCTAGGAGGCAAATATTCATTTATCCAGGAAAAAGAAAATTGTGCCAAGTGGGAAAATGTTCCCTTGAATACAATAAAAGTTTTTTTTTACAGCTATTAAAGATTTTGGGTAAAAATCTTTTTTTTATGACCACCCAAGAGAATTGTATTAGAAACCCTTAAGTAAAGTTTTATTCTGAAGAATGTAATAGCCTGTTGCTTACATGACAGAAAAGGAAAAGGTATGAAGTGAGGTAAATGGTGTCCATCTGGTTGTACAAGTCGGAAGACGGAATCATTCTAGACACTCACAAGCTATTTTTATTTTACTTCTTAAGTATCAAATCTTTTCATTTTCCTCATTCTGTCTTAGGACCACCCAAATCAAACTCTTTGGAGACCGTTTTAGCTGTCTTTTAACTAGTCCTTTAAGGAGCCCTGGGGGCAGAGTGGTTATGAGTTGGGCTGCTAGCCCCAAGGACAACAGTTCAAAACCATGAGCCACTCCTCGGGAGAAAGATGAGGCTTTCTGCTCCAGAAAAGGTTTACAGTTTTGGAAACTCACAGGGACCGGTCTACTTTCTGTCCCTGTATGTTTGCCTTCTCTGGGCATTTCATAGAAGTTACATCACACATTACATGGTCTTTTGGGGTCATTTCTTTGACTTAACATCTAGTTTTCAAAATTTAGCTCTGTCACAGTGTGTACAAGCCATTATTCCTTCTGATTACCAAATTCTGGGTTTTATACAAATAGCATGAACCTTCTGTGTTTGCTTGCAAGCACACCTCTCTCCAGGAGGCACTTTTGCAAGCCCTGCTATGCCAAGTTTTGGTTTACACATGGCTGGTCAAAATTAGCATGCCACTTTTACAGCAAAACCCACCGCCCTCCCCAGCCAGAGGAGGAAGCAGTTGTCTGCCTCTTCTACTGTACATTTTATGGAGCAAATATCAAGTCTGTGTCTGCTTTTCCTGAGACTGCACCTGGCAAAGGAAACCACTGGGCTCTTTGTTAAGTAACTCTCAGCAATAAAGCCAACCACTAAAGTGACTCAGTGCGCACCATGGTTCTCAGCCTGTACTGCCCATGCCCTCCCGTTTGGATGAAGCATTCCTATCTGCTGCCCGGTTACTCTTCCTGGGAAGAGATTCCGACTTGACTGGTGTGGAGTCACCAGGGCCAGAATTTAATTCAGACTCTCCCAAGGATTCTGACATGCAAGTCAGTCTGCCAAGCTCCAGGAGTCCTCCTGAGCTTGAGGTGTCCGCTGAACCTGCCTCTGCTTTTGAATTCATCTCCCTGTGTCCATCCTTGGTCGCATTCACGTCTATTTAACCAAAACCCCAACTCACTGCCATCCAGTCCATACCGACTCCTAGCCACCCTCTATGCATGGAATTGCTAACCACAAAGTCAGGGGTTCCTACCCACCAGCTACACCGAAGGAGAAAGATGAGGCTGTCGAGTCCCATAAAGATTTAAAGTCCCGGAAACCCACAGGCCCAGTTCTACTCTGTCGTGCAGGGCCGCTCGGAATTTCCTACAGAGGCAATGGCAGGCTGAAGAGAGAAGAGTGTGGTCCATGCTATAGGCACTCTTGGTCCTTTCACCCTAGTCCTTCCTTCGAACCTAGAGGTTTGCATCCAGAGGGCGAATGCGCAGGGTCACGAAAGGCCAGGTTTAATTTATGTTAAAGGCAGACTTCTCTACAGTGCAGAGAAAAGGTGAAGAGGCTCAACTCCCTAACTCATCTCCTCTGGGCGTTCCCCCTAAAAGGTTGACCGTGGAGTTATAGCCATCCACCTCTGCCCCATTCCAAGGTCTGTTTAGGGCCCTCTTGCACAACTCTTCCAGGTGTCCCCACTCTGGTCCGGATGTGAACTCCCCTGGGCCCCTAAGAGATCACAACCCCACCTCCCACCCACACCTCCCAACACCCCGGGCAGCGGCTGCTGTATCTCTGCCAGGGTCCTGCGATGGGGGGCACAGAGGTCGCACTCGGAGCCAGGGGAATCCGGTCCGCAGGGGATTGGGGGGGGGGGGGCGTGTGGGCCAGTCACTCTCCTTTGGCCTGGAAGCCAGAGGCCCAGGTCTCCCAGGAGCCACCCCCTCCGCACTCACTCCTTTCGCCAGCCAACTTCCAAGCGGTGGGACGCGAACCCTCATCCGGAGCGAGAGGGGTAGCACTCGCTCCCCACGCTTCCCACGACAAGGGAACCGACGCTGCCTCTGGACCCGGCACAACAGGTCCTTCGGGTGGGCACCCGCGGGCAGCTGGGCTGGGCCCGGGCGCCTTTCCTGCCGAGCGACCCCCTGCCCCCACCCCCGACTGAAAAGGCTCCTTCACTCAGTCCTCGCCCACCGCCAGCCCCGCGTGGCCTGAGCGGGCATCGCCCCCGAAGGCTCAGGCAGGAGCCGAGTGCTGCCCGGGTGGCGGTGGAGCAAACTTGGCGGCTGCGGGTACCGCTCCTTGCTGTGCGCCGCCGACCCGCTTCTTGGGGGCGATCGGCGCCCACTCACCTTGTGCCTGCGCCTCCATCGCGGCCGCGGCCGGCACTTCGCGGAGCAGCTGGCAGCGGTGCCCGCGCGCGCAGAAGGCAGCCGGCCCTGCCGCTGGCGCGTTCTTCCCGGCCCGCGAGCGGCGAGCGCGGCGCCGAGGGCGTGGGAAGACGGCGGCGGTGGCCTGGGCCTCTCCGGGGACCTCCGCCCCTGACTCTCCACCTGGCGCGGACCTCGCCGGCGACGCGCTCGCCGCTCGCCGCCACCTGCCGGCCGCTCTGCGAAGCGCGCGCAGGGCGCCCGCGCCGGGGGGCCCGGGAAGTGCCGCACCGGCCTGGGCTGCGTGTGCGCGCTGGACAGAGGCGCAGGAGGTTGGACTGACAAGACGCCCGTCCCGCCCACAGGTGGGACACTGAACCTGCCAGCCACGGGAGACCAGACTTGGTGGCGGTGGCGGTGCTGGGTGCTGCTCTCACGTTGGTTCTGAGTCATTGCAAGTCTATGGATCACAGACCCCAACAAGGGTGATCCTACCCGGTCCTTGCAGTCCTGGTACTTCCGCCCACTGTCGCAGGTTAAGAATCTTCTCAACCCTCTACTTTACCAAGCCTGAGATCCTTTTCCCGGGACTGGGCAACAGGTCCAAAGTATGTGAGACGAAGTCTCGCCAACTTGGATTCTAAGGAGCATTCTGGTTGTGTTTCTTCCAAGAGAGATTTGTTTGCTCTTTTGGTAGTCGATGGTACTTTCGATATCGACTGTAACTCTGCACAGGAGTGGAACATTTTTCTCCTGCTTTACATGAAGTAGTAATTACAGGAGACGGAGAACTATAACGAAAAAAGGCTTCATTCAGCTCAGTAATGTGACTAATCAAATCACTCTTCAAAATAGATACGGTGTTCATATTCATGTGACCTAAGATGAATGTTAGACTCCTCTTCCTGCACTCCCCAGCCTCATCTCCGTTCCCCACCTGGAATCACCTTTCTTTACAACCAGAGTCTCTGTGCTGTGCATTTATGATAGAAGGCCACAGAAGACAAGCACAGGGTACCTTGCAAGAAACAAATTTGCACATAAGGAATGCTTGCTTCAGCCACACCTTCCGTCTGGCCTACACATCAGTTTTCACTTCTCCTGGGGCAGCTGGGCCTGCGTAGCCATGGGTCCTATTGAAGAAATAAGTGTTCATTAGTCTCTGTGGCCGAAAAACCCATTTTCTCCTCCACCTGGGCACACAGCTGGACCATATTACTCAGGCACTCTCTTTTCCTTAGATGTGACCTCCTGGGTGAATTTTGGTCACTTCCAGGCCTGCTCAATTACAACTATTATTTAAATGGGGGGGGGGGGCAAGTCTCAAATGAACCGCTGTGCTTTTTTTCTTGCTTCTTTTTCAAATAGAGAAGCTCTAACAAAAGACGAAAGGTGTGAGGGGCCAGAAGATGAAAGGGCCACCGATGGAAGGCACTGTGACCACCCATGGCTCATGTGGAAATTGACCCTCAGCAACAAAGTGGGTTCACGTGAGGGAAAGGCATGTTTGTTGGTTGGTTTCTCTCCCAAACATTGAGATTCCTACGAGGTCTTAGTTGTTATGGCTCTGACCGTTACTCACCCAACTAATAGCAGTCCTTCTTACAACTGGTTTGGAGACACCTGGCTTTGTTTGGAGCCCCTGTGTGGCACAAATGGCTAGGTGCTAGCCAAAGGTTGAATGGAAACTGCTGTCATTCTGTTTTTATCCCTGCCGGGAGCTTTTCAGGCTTTCCTTTTTGTTTTCACTTAGTGCCCAGGAGGTTGCGCTAGTTGGGCCTAGTTTCATCTGGGGAAGATCTCTGATTGGCTCATTGAGGGTCCACGGCCAAATCCGGACCACTGACAGTCAGCCTCACATTTCTGTAATTGTTACTCATTATTCGTCCATAAAACAAATTCAAATAAAAATTTTAAAACAAATTGATTAGCATGGATTAGCATTAAAATCTAAATATATCGGAAAATATTAGCTACACTGCTGAATTGTGAACCTTCTGTTGCAGTTCATATATATATATTTCTGAGAATGCAGAGGTACATGTATGCACCACTTTGGATATAGAAAAACAATTATTTCTTAGTGTATGTATGTATGTATATGTGTGTATATGTATATACACACACACACACACATATACAAGAAAGTTAATATATATGAGGTGGTACCCCCCCCCCCCCAAATGGATGCTCATTTGCTTTTCTGCTGTGAGGGGCATAGTGCATGTGGAGTTCGTGCCACCAGGTCATACCGTGAACCAAGCTTTCTATTTAGAGGCTTTGACAAGATTGCGTAAATATTGCACAAAAAGGCCTGATTTATGGCATATGGGGAAGTGGTTTGCCACCACAACAATGTACCTGCTCACCCAGCCATCTCATTGTGGCAGTTTTTGGCAAAAAAACAGCATGCCTCTCTTGTCCCATGCTCCTTACTCACCTGACCTCTCTCCTGCTGCTTATTTTTGTTTCTGAGAATGCAGAGGGACATGAAATGACAGCTATTTGACAATATAGATGAGGTGACGAACAAAACGAGGGAGGCGCTGTCAGCCATCCAAACAGATGAGTTTTGAAAAATGTTTCCAAGAATGGAATCACAGATTTGACAAATGTTTTGTGTCATGGAGAGAATTTTGAAGATGATAAGTTTGTTTTGTTATAAATATTAAATGCATATCTTTGGGGGGAAAATTCCGGTTCTGGGGGGTACCCCCTTGTGTGTGTGTGTGTGTGTGTGTGTGTACACATACTCACTGCCATAAAATCAAGGCTGATTCATAGCAACCCCTTGTGGGTTTCCAAGACTGTAACTTTTTTACGGAATAGAAAGCACAGCCTCTCTTCTGAAGAGCTGCTGGTGGTTTTGAAAGATGAAGCTTTCTACTTCTGTAAAGATTTATAACCTCAGAAACCCAAAGGGGCAATTCTACTCTGACCTGTATATGTGATGATAATGTTTATATATATACATACACACACACATTCTCAGAGTTATCATGACTGGTTTAAGGAGCCCCCATGGCCCAATCTGGAACATTGCGAGTCAGTCCTACATCTTTGATAGCTGTATCACATATAGTGTACATGTATGCACCACTTTGGATATAGAAAAACAATTATTTCTTAGTGTGCATCACGGTCAATAATCCTTCATCTATCCATCGTGAGTGGGTCCCTCCAATTTCATGCAAAACAAGAACAAAACAAACAACCATCCAGGCAGCCCTGACCCTTGGGGCTTCATGTGTATCAGGGTCAAACCATGCTCGATCCGTTGGACTTGAAAGGCTGTGAGCTTTAGGAAGCAGATTGCCCGGAGGCTCGGTCTTGGTTAGTTACTCTTGATTTGTTCATTTCAGGTAACTGAGCCCTGTTGGTACAGTGGTTAAATGACCCAGCTGCCAACCAAAAGGTTGGAAGGCACCAGCTGCTCCACGGGAGAACGGTCACCGCTCCTGAAAGGATGGCAGCATTGGGAACCAGAGGGGCAGCCTTCTTCTGCCCTACAGTGGCACTGTGAGCCTGCACCAGCCTCACAGCAGTGGGTTTGGGTTGGCGTTTGGAGTTTCCCTAAGGGTTAGCGATGTCCTGAAGAGACACAGGCAAAGACGAGGGAATCTGGGCAAGGCATTTTGTCAGGGTGCCTGCAAGACCGAAACCTGCAGAAGCTGATAGGAAGTTCTCGCTGATTAAGGAGCCCCGTGCCCCAAACCACTGACTGGGGCTGCTGCTCCACCCCAGGTTCAAATGTAGGCATCTTCCTCCTCCTAACTGCCCTGCGGACCGCCCGGTACAGCAAGCTGTAGAGTGCTTCGCCCCACATCCTTTCTGAACCTAACTCATGGGGATTCCTGTCCTGTCTCACTGGTGGGGGATGCAAAGAGGGAGGAGTAAGCAAAGCGGGTAAAACGGGGAGGGCTAAAACAGTAGCCTGACAAGCCCCGCCCACCAAGCCAGCATTCCTTTCATTGGAGTTTTCTTTGAAGGCCTTCCTTATAGAATTTGAGAAGAAGGAAGAAGGCCCTATCTTGGCATATCTTCATTTTCTATAATCCGTCTTTATGTATTTACTCTAAAAATTTCAGGTAGTGGTCTGGATTTATTAGCCTATAATTATCAAGGTTGAGGGTTTTTTTGGTGGCATTAGTTTTTGTTTTTAGAGAGAGAGGGTTTTGAATAACTGCATTACCTCTGTTGACAGGAGCGTACATAGATTCAAATATCGATGTAGATGAAGATAGTCATCTTTATAATGGGAGCTTCCTTTTATGTAAAATAGAGAGATAGATATAAATAAAAATGTCTGTTATTTGTCTCTTTTTAGTGAAGCCTCACATATTTACTGGAATTATGGGAAACTCAATCATGTGCATATTTTTAAAATTATAGTCATCACCATTAGAATTGAACACCAAGAGTAGGGCTTTTGAATGGCTTGTATTCATCGCCATTAGAATTGAACACCAAGAAAGGGCTTTCAAATGGCTTGTGGTGACAATAACCATGGTGTGTAAAGTGGATTTAATGGTTCAGTCACTTTCAGAGAGCTCTCACTTGTCCTGGTTCTCTCCTGCCTGGAAATTAAGCACCAGGTGCCCGTTGACTCTCAGCTCTTCACAGAGGTTAAAAATAGTTCATGACTTTCTAGCTTGAGTCATCTGACCTTCACCTAAACTCTGACTTATTTTCTCTATTTATAAAAAATTTGAGGGACTCCCTCCTAAATCATTATTTATAATAATGAAAATTGTTATTCATTCAGAACTATGTGTTGAACATCTTCTCTGTGCCAGGGGTATAATAAATGCCAAGAATGCTGAGACAAAGACCATGCTCTAGTGTACCCAGGGAGTTCATGGTCTGAAGAAAGGGCTGAATGGATGGATTCTTTATGAAGCAGCCCATTGTGTCAAGTACCATGTCAGGGATAGGCTGCTGTACCTGTGAGAACTGAGAAAGGACAGAAAGGAAAAGGTCTTTGAGGATATTTATCTCATCAGTTAGCCCTCAAATAATGGCTTAACCAAAGGAGAGTCTTATGGAAGTTAACTTATT